TGTGTCGTGTAGTCTCGTGGTATAACTACGAGGTCCATTCGTTCACGAAGGGTTTTGAAAACGCGAGTTTCCTTGAACTTCTTATTAATATCGGTTTGTGCAAAGTAAAGATACAATGGTAAAAAATCGCTTTTATATTAGTATTGCACATAGCATAAATAAGACACGAAAAATACTCTGTTTGGAACAAAACACATTAAGAACTTGAAACGAGAGTAAATATGTAGAGCGAAATTCATAACTAAACACGAACCAAACATTCCCTTCGCTAGGCAAGTCAAGAGCCAGAATCTAACTAAATCAAACTTGTACATTAAAATCGACTATAACTAAGTTGCGTACGACACATGCGCCTCAAGAGGAATATTTATTAAAAACGTACACGCAAGAACTAAAAATTCTACAATAACCATGTCATAGTACTTTCTGCATGCCACCAAATTAATATTAGTGGTTGATAAGTAAGAGTAATATAATTTACTGACAATATGCAGCATTTGTAGTGGTTCATCGTACTTTAAACTCTATCATATAGGTAACAGTTACAAATTGTTGCCAGTTTACCGCCAAATTCGAAAACCTCGTTGCATCGTTATCGGCCACGGAAACTCGTTCATATCAAATTAGGCATACGTGTTTTCGCATCACTTGTGATGGCTGTTCAAAATTTCCCTATTTGATTTGAGTGTAGAATTTAGAAGATTCAATGCTCGTAAAAAACGTTGGGCAAGCGGTGATAGGTCAGTGAATCATAAAATAAAAAACATAAAGTACAGACCTATTTTAGAAAATGAAGACCATTTGCCACCAGGAGTCTTCATTGGTTCCGCGTTATCAATTAATTTTCCGAGTAATTAAAATGATTATTATATCCAGCGAAAATATTTAGTAACTAAACTTATTATTAATGTCACTAGATTGCTTGAATCGCAGATTCACTAGAAATTTAGAAGCGAAGAAAACTCCACAAAAATTCAGCATTTCTCTATTGCAAACGTTTTGGAGACCAGCTCCATCGTCAGTTCGATAAATCTAGAACACAAATACAGTCAGAAAATTAATAAAGTTTGGAGTCATAAGAAAAAAAACAAAAACAACAGAAGTTAAAACCTAAATTTACAGGCAAAGGGCAGAATAATAAAGAAATACCTATCTATTCACAATTTCTAATGGATAAGAACTGTATAGGCAGCATTTAAACTAGGCTTCTCTTTAAAAATATACAATGATTCCAAAATGCGCAGATCGGAAACACCAGAATTATAAGCTAAAATCTTAAAGTCAGTGTCGGACACCGGAACGTTGCACTGTTCGGCGTGAGTACGCACAGCCGAATGAGGAGGGCGCGATAGTAACTGCACAGTCCTATACTGTAACTCCTCCCTTTATGCTCAGCGACCCGAGTGTAAAGGTTGCGTGCCGTCTTTCCGACGTACGCAGATGCACATCGTGCACAACTAAATTTCTAAACTAGGGACGATCGCATGTGAGAAGGGAGGATATCTTTGTACCTAAAAAACGAACCTATTTTGAAATTGTTAACCAGTAAGATACGAAGAGTCATGTCCGGAAAGTATTTCATAAACAAATCTTTTAATTCTCTTGACATAACAAAAAAATTCCGTTTGCCGGAGGTTCCGGTTGCCGGAGCGAAATAAGCGCCGAAATGGAATCTTGTGAAATTACCCGTCGAGCTTGGGGCGGGCTTGGGGCGATCGTGGGGCGCGCGTATTTGGTACCTGATACGTTCGGGACAGACACGGCCGAATCTGAAAAATGCGTTAAAAAATACCCCCTCCCTTCCCCCCCCCCTTATGGGGGGAAGTGTAAATGCCCCCTCCCTCCCCCCCCTTATGGGGGGAAGTGTAAATGCCCCCTCCCTCCCCCCCCTTATGGGGGGAAGGGAGGGGGCATTTCAATCTCTTTCATTTCAATCTCTGTTCAATACATCAATATCAATAATTAGAGGTAATGCAAGTCAAGCCAATTTCTCTTACTAAATCCATGTATCCTGCTGAATGAACAACGTTGTGTTTAAAATAATCGTTGAATTATTTGCCGTTTCATTTCATGTAACTTTCGTCACATTTAATTTCCATCGAGCACACAGTTCTGCAAGGGACTCGAATTTCTGCGTTCATTGACGAAAGACCACACAAGAGAACGGAGTAGCACATCTTAATCTTAACAAAATCTAGTTGCGGCACTAACTTTAATACTTGATTGCAGCTTTCAGCTGTTCTCACTTAATAGCAAGTGAGGACAGAAGATGGATGCAGAAAGTGAGCTTTCTGCATCCATCTTCGGTTGCTGCAATGTCAGTATTGAGTTTCGCATGTAGTTCTTTTAACAGGCTGGAATTCTAAAATTCGTGGTTCACATAAAAAAAGCGTTCCGCCTTAAAAAAAACGTTCCAGGCAACTAGAAACAGGTTTGCAGGCCGTCAGAAATTGGCTTCGGTTACGGTAGCTATGATCGTATGAACGTCAAGTCAGGTCGAGAAGTATTGCAAAGAACTTCACTTTAGAAAGCACTGGACAGCAAAAAGTAAGGAATTTGTATTGCTGAAAATGTCAAAAACGGTAATATTCAGTTTTTAACACTGAGTTGTTTACAAGATGTAAACTTCACTTATTCACTAAATACGATAAGATTACACAATTCGAATGGGATGCGTGAATCAACCAACGTCCCGACGTGACAAAGAACAGTGTATAACTGCTCAAGATCAGCGCCTGCGCAGTCCGAACTACCTCTCACTGCTTTGTCTCAAGCCGGGTAGTTGATAACTAACCTCCCACTCCTTATTAGAGAGTATAAAGGGGATTGTTTGCTAACCCTGCCTCTGAAACGTTGTTTTGGTTAACACACGCATCACGACGTACATACTCGCACAAACGCTGGCGCGACCCAAAAATTTCGTTTCAAATATTGTCCCAAAAGTTTTGAAGCGGTTTCCGTGAGCAAAAAAACATGCAAATCAAGAAAACGTAACGCCCACACGTTGACGTACACGCAATGCATGAGTGGTGAAACCCACGCGTTTAGAAACTCGTGCGCCTACTTTTGCATCGTATATGGGTTTTTGAATCAGAGGCTTGACAGTTGTCACGCTCTCGCTAAGAACTAATGCCAGCTACTGAGCAGTGCAAGCCAATGGTGGCCTGACCACCCACTGATTTCGTGCGTCATATGACCCTTATTTTTTTCCATGGAACTACCTAAAATATCACCTATTGGGAGGCTGATTAGGTGAATTCATGTCTGATTTATCATGTCTGATCCATTTCATATCTGATTTATCTCTAATCCGAGAGCGGCAAACGAAAACCGAACGATAGCCGCGCCTAAATTTTGACAGGGAACGCACCCCAGTACCTATTAATCATTGGAGAATAACTCTGTTAATCATCTCTTTCAAGAATGGCTCATAACGTATTTGGGTTTCTCATTTGGTATTTTATATTTTGCAATGCATTTTTCTTCATTGAGTTGTAATTTTTTCACATATGTTTAAATAGACCTAATTTGTTTGCATTCTTCACTCAATTAACCTTGTTAATAATACGCAGCCCTGTAACGTCTGGGGTGCTTATTCTTAACATGACCCGAAAAGTGAATCCTCATCAACAAATAATAACAAATTTCAACTCAAGATGCTAACAAAATCGACTATAGATGTATACATTTAGCGTGACATGCCTGTCCCGGTCAAACAGGATCTATAAAAAGTGAATTTGAAAACTTGTAATTCAACAATCTAAAGTGGCTCAGACTTACCCAACAGTTTTCTATTGCAAAAGCTTTTCCGCCGCAACACTTCAGACTCTGCTAATGCTTCAGAATTATAAATGAACGAATAATTCTATATTAAATGGAGTCGATAACGATAACCAGAAAACGTTCGCAATTAAATGCACAATAAAGCAGCAGATGAACTAGTTAATCAACTCGAGAGTCCAGTGGGCAGTGCATGTTGTGAAAGTCTCGATACCAAGCATTCGTTTCCATTTATTTTATCTCCCTTTAATAGAATGCAATGTTCAATCTTGTGTTGATATAAAAGATCTACTAGACCTTATTTCGCAATGCCGCATCAAATTTAACTTAAATTTATTTTATTTATTTATTTAACTTAAATTTAACTTTCTGATTGATCTGACTGACCATGAAATAACTAGTCGGCCGTCATGAATACAAAAACGATTTACTCTAAGTATTCAGTACCTTCAAATTTCTCATGCACGCCGAATGTTTATAAATTTTCACATCTCTAAAATAATTTTTGCCATATTCTTTTCATTGCGAAAATCAATTCTGAATCCCAAGGGGAGCTCCTGACGGTATATTGTCTATGTCCAGAGGCACATGTGCCTCCAGACTTTATAAATATTTCTACCTGAACCTGAGGAGAGGGGTTTGTTGACGAAGTGCGGAGGGATAAGTAAGACACCATCTGTCTATAGAGAACATATCTTGATACGGGGTGGTAATACATGAGAGTTATTTTAGTTGTATGAGGCTAAGACGTACGTCGACCGTTAGGTCGGAGTAGCTGTAATGCGAGTTACATTGCGGCGTACTTGTCAGTTACTGGGAGCCTTACTAAGGCGCCCAGACTTTTTATAGAATCACGGCTTCCGCCCAATACGGAGGCCTTGATCGCTTGATGTTGTCCATGCTGACTCAGTTCTTGTACTTTTCCATCAATCTCTACCACGTCTACTGAATAGTATGTCTCAATTACAGATGATCTAATAATAGAATATAATTTAAAATGAATGGATTGAGACGCCTGATTGACACCGGACATCTAAGAAAACGCATTGCATAAGAAAATTTGGAGTTAAAGAGGAAATCATCGTATGACTAAAATGACGAATCAGAATTAGATCTTGCACTCTTAAAATTTAAAACTAATAAAACCTGGCTGTCTACTTATCTTATCAGTGCCTGACAAGTGAACGTTTTCAGGAATTCGTCGCATCAGTAGCGATAAGTCCGTGCTAACTGCAAGTGCCTCATACTCTTGTTCCATAAACGTGCATCATGGATCCACCAACTGAAAACGATGAATTTCAGTTACCTCTGTACGACCAGGTAAACAAAGTAATAATGAACTAAAACGCTAACACCTCTAATAAGTATTTGAAATAGTAATTCTGAAGGTATAATTTGGCGTGCTTGAGACAGACATGTTATCAATCGTTCCGCAATTATCATGCCCTCTGAAGTTCGGTACAATTAGAAATGCAAAAGAGCAATGAAAACGTTGAAACTTTTATTAAAACCGGAAAGGAGCAGCACTCGAGGTAGCCTATAAGAACTATACACACACACATACATATAAGAGCTATTCACACTGCAGGAACAATCGCTTACATCAGCATAGGTATAAAAATTAGTAATTAATTATCAAAATAATTGAATTCAAAGTAATGAGTCACTTTTATAAAAGGTAGATGAGTCTTTCGATCCTCACCGCAATAATATGGTTACCGTGCCATCATTCAGGAGTGGTATTGTAAGTATAGAGAACATGCAGCACGGGTATAACATCCAAGGTGTGAAGTTCAAGTGCGGAGATTCTTATCTGTCATTGACGAATAAAAAGATAAGAAATGCTATCTAGCAATTTGTTTCGTCCAGAACGCAAAATCTTTCAATATTACAGCAAAATCCGAGCAATGAATAAAAATTAATTAATGTTTACAACTTATTTGCTTCCTTAGAAGGAAACCTTAGAAAACAGTTCTCATGGAGAAATATTACGATGAATTAAAGAAGAATTGATGAAGGTGTGTGCACTTGTGGTAAAGTTAAAGGCATACAAGCAAGCGTGTTAATGCCAAGCAGTTAACGAACAAATGCTACACGGAGCCAAAAGCCCATGCAACGGGGTTCAACACATCGCTTGTACAACTAGTACAGTAATATTTAAAGAGCGGACACCAGGTTGCAAACAAGCAATTTAAAGAACTTAACAAAATGTGAAAACATTTTCACACACTCTGAATCTGTAGCTGGAAAGGAAAATTTAGCGCAAATCCCAAATGGAGTAGATGTGCAAAGCCGTAAGGTTGATTCTGAAATAATCCAATTATGCTGAAGATCCACGATCTCGCCTCGTATGATGAAACTATCGACAAGCGTATGTCTAATAATGACGTAAACAAACAATAAATGTTAAGGATATTTTAAATTTGTAAACGTACCGAATAACGCTTTTTATAATGAAAACCCGATAAAATTTATTGTCGTTCTCCAGTGTTGTAGGATCGAATTATGCATGTTGCCCGTGTGTAAAATATTCGTGTCATACTTTCGCATGACTGGAATAACAAACGGGAACATCAACTTTGCATGTGTTTTATAAATATCTTTCCAGATATCGATTTATTTCACGTAGCTTTTTCAAAGGGAGTAGCTTCTACAATTTCTATTAGCATATTATTGGTCAATAGAGAGAATGATTCTGAGATCATTTTGTGTGAGTTGGAAAGCATTTTTGCTGCTGATTTCAAACTGGCTCTTTTTTTCTCTAGTGCGCCTAGTTTTTCATATATTCGCGTTCTTGGGAAAGATATATTTGATAACAATAAATGTATATGTAATTTATATCGATTTATTATTGTTTGACCATCTACAGATAGATTTCACCGACCCGCAACCATCAACAAAGGATAAGAACGGCGAGCGTAAAATGACAGAAGGAAGAAAATCAGTGCAGCATTTTGCAGCGCGGTGCAGAAAGCAGTGCAATTTTCTTCACTGCTTTGAAATAGTCTGCATCATCATCCTGACAACCTGTGTAGTGCTACTCTACCTCGACAGTGTAAGTATTTGTCTTCTACAACCACGATGCATTTCCCTGTCGCTCATGTTGAATTTTTTAGGTGTTTATAAAATCGTTGTATATCGTTGTATTTGTGGTCGGAATACAAAAATCGCCGGGTTTAGAAATATGTAAAAAGCTTTTTAGTTTGTGTGATCACTTACCCATAAATTTCAATGCCCATTCAACCAATAATTTAAATCTATTTAAGAAACGCCGCATACATGAATTGGCTAACAATGACTGAGAGTAAACTAATTTATTACTATCACTTGCAGAAGAAGCTGTTGAGTCCAGCTGAAGAAAGCGCTGAAATTGTAAGTATTAGTTTGCAGTTGTGACTTGTCATATGCCCATTCAACCAATAATATGGATCAATTTCTGAAACGCCGCACACACGAAATGGCCAACAATGACTTAAAACAAACTAATTTCTTATACTATCACTTGCAGAAGAAGCTGATGAGTCGTGCCGAAGAAAGCGCTGAAATTGTGAGTATTAGTTTGCAGTTGTGACTTGTCACCTTTTACGATCACTTATTTTAAAGATTTGAACCGTGACTATATATAGTAGGTATTCAACTTATTCCTTGATTCGTTGATTAAGATTACTATGGTATATGGTTCTGGTATATGGTTGTACGGTATATGTTTGAATGGTATATGGTAGTATTGTATATGGTTGAATGGTATATGGTTCTGATCATCGAAGTCCAAATTTTTGGAGCACTTTATTTAATTATGGACTCTGCGTACATTACCACATTCTTGCGTACTCGGGCTCTGCCCCCTTGGCGTACTCGGGCTCTGCCCCCTGGCGTACTCGGGCTCTGCCCCCTGGCGTACTCGGGCTCTGCCCCCTGGCGTACTCGGGCTCTGCCCCCTGGCGTACTCGGGCTCTGCCCCC